GAAACATCATCAGCTTATTAAATATTAAGAAATTACATATAATTCAGTCGAAATTTAAACAAATCTTTGATTTTTGAATAAAATTCATGATTTAATTACTATTGTTGATTTTTTATTCATGTCTATATTATTTTCTTCAATTGATATGCGATTTTACTGATTCAAGATCATCTACTTGGTGTTCTTTCCTATAAACCTCTTGCAGATAGCCATTAAGCACCTACTTGATGACTGGCTCTACCAAAAAGTTCATAGATATTGCTCGTTTCCAAACATTCATTCATTTACTCACCGTTCATCAGAACCATTATGGCACCTTAGATTGATATTCCCACAAAACCATTCTGGTTTTTTAATATCCATACATCCATAAAGTTGAATATTTTTCGTTGTTCAGGAACTTAACAAACATCCACACTATATTCACAGCGATTAAGAAATACCCAAATATATGTCGTAGAGCTACCAGCAAACCTAAAACCTCCTGATATTTTAAAACTAACCATATCGACAAGTGACATATAATTCTGTGAGATCCGTCAACACTTCGTCCCAGTCCCAGTGGAGCAAACTCTGCCAACTGTCGAAATAAACTTTATTAATTCCAAGTCTTATTTTTGATTTACTGTGCCTGCTTAGATATTCAAATACGGCCAGGAATTATTAGCGACTGGGTATTTTAGGCCTTCAATAACTCTTTATTTTAGATCTCTCCTTATTTTGTTTTTTCCACGCATTCATGGTAGAAAGAAAAATATTTTATCGAATATCGATACCGTATACCGTGCAGCAGGCACGCCCATCAGTACTTTGACAGATTGCAGAATGATGTCAAAGAGACAATCGTTATGTGTTTTTGTCTAAAATAGGCAAGTAGGCTTTGTGTATTCATTTTTGTTTTTATAGCGCTTCCAGAATTTCATATTTCGAAACGATGTCAAGGGCCGGCAGGGGAAATCTTTCTCTATCGTCGCCATCCCTATATTGTATCCCCACCAGTCACCAGTCAAAAACCTTAACCACCAATATTTTATCACTATTTATAATTCTTTTTAGCTCTTATTTTTCAGTAATTACTAATAATTTTATGTCTATATCTACAGTAATTGCATTATGCACCTCGGAGATGTAGGGATTAACATGTTTTACACATATCGGTGTTTTAGGATGGGGACGACCATACTGTTTTGATAGCTTTGAAGAAATTCATTAACCCATGAATTTATAACAAATGATTGCTATTATGATGTAAAGAGAGTTGAGGAATTTGTTGGAATACATTTTATATTCTATTTTCTTGCAAATCCGCACAATTCAACAGGTATGTGTAGGTATAGTGATCACATATAGGTATACACAGTATATTGAACTTAACAAATTTCGAGATTGCCATGAATTAAGAAACGACCAAACCTGCTGCCAAATTTAACAGCTACAAAATCGACCTATTATTTCTCCCATTCTCATTCGCTGAGGGGATAACGGATGGTCAAATTTACACCTATAACATGAATCAAAATACATGAAAGTTGTCCCGTTTTGTCTGTACAAAAGGATCATGTTGGAATCAAAAAGTGGTCTTGTTTATAATATAGTCAAATTTTCACGGTTTTATTCAACATTTTAATAGAAATCACTGATATTCTGAGACCTTTGACAGCTTCCGTCAAATTGCATTTCGATAAGGTATTTTCCTATTGGTCCATAATATTAATCTTGGTGAAATCGGCCCTAAGGAAAGCAAAACTCAAAAGATAAAAATGACACTCGGAGATTGACACTTCCAGCAAAGTAAACACAAGTATATTACTATTCATAATTTCACTGTTGACCGGTAGAGAAGAGAAATTCAGCAACTTTTGAAACGAATAGATTCAGTTTATGCATATATAAGTGTCTGAATCGGAGACAGATGAGCGCTAGATACGTCACTTTGTTTTTCACTAGAGTACTTCTTTTGAAAAAGATACCCCACCTCTTGATTTCTTCAACGTGTCAAACCATAATTCGGGCCGATGAAATTGATACATGGATACTATATTTTAGCGTATCAACGTCGTAGTTAAAAATTTCACAATGGCGTACATTGAATCGCTCATAACTCAACAAGTAATCATCGAAACGATATAGTATCTATATCAACCTTCTTCTTTTGTGGATCTGGACGTGTTATGAAATGTAAAATATTCCGCTTAAAAAGTTGCAGATTGATATAAAGTACTATAATCGTTGTGCTGATTGGTTTTCAAATTATAAGCGGTAACTTTAACAGTCTGTCAGTTCGTCATTTTGAAAGATGCTAATGTAATATACTAGGGTTATAGCGTACTCACAGGAGCTGTGCCGTGTGAGAATTAGATCCATCTGTTACTTTAACGTTAACATACAGGGTTTGTCCGGAAAGTAATAGGACTCATTTTCTTCCGCCATGACTGCACTTGGATTCGGTAGAGGGCGTTCCTAGCTAACGAATGAGCGGCTGGTCAGTTGTCTCCGAGTACTTGGAGAGTCAGGACAGGCATTTTCGCGCGGCGTGTTTCTGTGAGTGGTGGAAGCCGAAAATGCAGCGTTCTTTAGAGCAGAGGTACGCGATTAAATTCTGTGTGAAACTCGGTAAAGGTAAAGACGTTAGATATGATCACGCAGGCTTACCCAGGTGTTGCTTTAGCACGAAGTGGTGTGTTTCGGTGGCAACAGGCCTTTTTGGAGTGCCGGGTAGAGGTCGCTGATGAAGACCGTGCTGGAAGACCTTCGACTTCGACAAACACCGATAATGTGACTCGTGTGCGCAAAGTTTTGAACTCAGACCGTCGATTAAGCATTCGTTTAATTGCTCAGATGTTAAATTTACCAAAATATGTGGTTCGTGACATTGTGACACAGCATTTGAGCATGCGCAAGGTGTGCGCGAAGATGGTCCCAAAAGTGCTCACTGGCGACCAGAAAATGCGGTGAGTGGAAGTGTGCCAAGAAAACTTGAACATGTGTGAAAGTGACCCCAATTTTTGAATAACGTTATCACAGGTGACGAGTCGTGGATCTTTGAGTATGATCCCGAGACAAAGAGACAACCTTCCGAGTTTCACACGACGGCGTCTCCTCGCCCAAAAAATGGAAGAATGTGCAAATCCCATCAAATGCACCGTCCACCATGAATTTGTTCCTCCTGGACAAACCGTCAACGCCAAGTTTTACGTGGAAGTGCTCAGGAGACTCAAACGAAAGGTCAGTCGGGTCCGACAAGACATCGCAGCCGACTGGAAGTTGCACCACTACAACGCCCCGACTCACACCGCCTTTCTTGTGAACAGCTACCTGACCAAGGCCGGCATCCCAATGCTTCCGCAGCCGCCCTACAGCCCAGATGTGGCCCCGCCGGACTTTTTTTTGCTTCATCGCCTGAAAAGGCCGATGAAAGGCAAGCTTTATTCCGGAGAATGCCTTCCATGACGCCTTCAATGCTTGGAAATCGCGCTGGCAGCGCTGCATCGACGCAGAAGGAGCCTATTTTGAAAGTTTTCAAAGAATTGTAACGATTAGCTAAATAAATTGTTTTAAATCGACTCAGTCCTATTACTTTCCGGACAAACCCTGTATATTACTCCATAAATGTCGTCAACCAGAACTTGAATTTGCTAGGTCGACTTGTTCAAAAAAAAATACGCAAGGGTGGTTTAAAAAGCACTGCATAGTAGGTAAGTGAGAAGCAAGCCTCTAAAAAAGGTAAATGTTATTCGGGTTAATGTCCAACGTGATATTGGCAATTAAAAATATCAATATTTTGAGTGGGAGGTTTCCAATTTCATGAGGGTCGGTTCCAATTCGTATAAATATTGCTTGCATTATTTTGCTTATTTTCCATCACCTCTCTCTCTCTCTCGATCCCCTCAATTTTGTTGAACACAGTAAATCACAACGAAGTAACGACCATAATACCCTGCTGGTAAGTTGGTAAGCTATAATAATCCGCATTATTATTTTAATCGTCATATATGTTTGCAAAGTCAATTTGATTTTATAACGAGTTGACCGAAAGAATCTCTTGATTATTATTTTAAAGGATCTTTGTTTTCTGATTACTTTTCTGTACTATTATTTTCATTGGAAATAACTTTCTGTCCGAAAGTAGCTTCTAATTTAACCGATTCTGAAATGATACAACACAAAGCGCTATGTACTACCAAAATCGACCTTGGCAGTGAAGACAGCAAGCTGTCCGTTGGAACAGTTCTCATTGTCACCATTGTGACCGCTAGATGCTGCCAATTCTGGTATTACAGTAGGTACGGTACAAACTGGTGATGTTGCTTAGTATATGACTCCTTTTCCCTTGATAGGATGTCTGCCCTCAGACTAAAAATATAAATAGACAAATAATTCCCTACAAAATATCGTCGTCAACATAACTGTATTTACGGTAAACAAATATATGCGACGCTGCCACTTCTCCATACTGAAAAATCTATTGAAAATGGAATGAGATATTGGTGTGCACTCCGCCCGAAATGAAGGTGGACTTAAATAAGGTGTGGATGCTCCGGACGATCGTGGGTCGATCAAACAACTGCTCCTAGGCAGTTGTCAACGTCATTTTAAATTTTAAAAATTTATTTTTTCTTTTCATATTTGTTTATACTCGCAAAAACGGTCACAGAGGTGGCCGACACGCCGTAAATTCAATTCAAAACGGATTCAGGTTCATGTTGGGTAATTCATAGCGAACATTACATATAATATTTTGCCCAGTCAGTTGTTTGACTGGATTTGTTCCACCTTGGACGAAACTTGCTCTCATTCGAAAGTAGCACATTTCTACCGACTTTTTGCCGAACATGGCAACGGTGTTCAACGGCAAGTGGTAGATGCGTACACAGAATTTACAAACATCTGGTGTTTGTTATTGTGCACAGTGAATTTGTTGCGAGTATTCAAAAATGTTTTCAGGTTGTTTTATAGGCAATTATAGCATTGTTATCATTGATATACAATTTTCAAAGACAATGGGACGTCGTAAGTGCATTCTTTGTGGAGTTAGCAGTGAAAAAACTGAGGCAAGGTGAGAGAGAGGTTAGATGAGGACAAGGGCGTAGCGCATGGGGATGCGTTGTGATTTTTAGTATTAAGAAATAGACATTTTATAGTTATTGGTTGTTTTTACACTGTATGTGTGGTGATTTTCAAAAAATACTCTTCTGTTAGACACGTTTTTGATCTTTCAGGTTTCCTAGTGATAAGAAAAAACAAGAAGAATCTCCAATGGGTGAATGAAAAGATGAAATTTAAACTTGCCGTCCAGACTCTGAGCAAGAGTGTTGCAGACGCATTGGACTTTTTGAACATAGATCTGGCTATGGCTGACTTCAAGGATTCAGAAGCTACAGCATCTTTTTGTAGAACAGTAAACAATTTATTTGATGTTTTTAATTCAAGGAATAGGATGTCAAAAAAACCTTATGAGAAACCGTTGTCACCTGCTACTGAACAATATTTCTATTTCTTAGAAGAAGCGAAGGATTATTTGAAATCGTTAAAATTAGGAGACACTAGAGTTATACTTTCTAGAAGAAAATTAGGATTTTTGGGATTCATAATTTCAATAAACAGCCTGTATGAATATAGTCAAAGAAACCAAAGAGCTGAAGTACCTTCTCACATATAAGTTATCTCAAGATCATTTGGAAATTTTCTTCAGTTGTATAAGAAGCAAAGGAGGATACAGCAATAATCCTACCTCGAAGCAGTTTCAGAATATTTTAAAAAAATTATTACTTCATACTGAAATAAGTGGCAATGAAGCATCCAATGTCGTGGCATTAGATAGCACATCCATTTTGCACTGTTCATCATCATCAGAGATCAAAATTAGTGAGGATATGACCTCATCATCAAACAGTATAGAGGAAGATCACGATTTTATACAATTTAAAAACTTTCTTCGAATAAGTCCTTGGTAGCTTAAACTGTATTTGGAAGATGTTGTTGCATATGTTGTGAAGAGGCTAAAAAAGTCTATAAAATGCCTGAGTTGTTTAGATTTGTTAGAAACTTCAGGAGAGTCTATATCAAAATTACAAATAAGAAAAACGTATGGAAATTAGTTAAAGCCTCCGCTTTTGCAATAAATGTGTATAAATATGGAGAACATTGCTTTAGGTTATATAAGGAAAGGTTAGAAGTTGGCAAAAAAATATGACAAGAGCTTCACAAATATTAACAAATTATACATTGCAAAACTTACCTCTTGGATTCGGAAATGTGTTTAAGGACCATGTATTCGAAGATGAACCTTTAAGTAATCATTTTCCATTGCTCTGAAAACAAGTTTTAGAACAATATTTTACCATTAAGTTGTACCACTCTACCTCTAACTTGAATGCCCCTTCAAAACGTGTACGATCATTACTCACAAAAAGTGTATTATTTCAAAATCAATAAAACCTGATAATTACAAAAAAAATAAAAAGCAAAATTATAAAATGAATTATAAATAATGACTTAGGGAGAGTGACAAGTTCAAAGGAATTGTTTTACTGAAATATGCACTAAATCTTCAAACATGGATTGACTACTATAAAATAATGTATAAACCTACCCCCAATGTTGACTTTAGCTTTTTAGATGTTTTACATCCATATCTGGATCAGCATATAAACAATACAAGAACTTTTTGACGCGCTAAATGGCTAAAATGGCTATCATAGTCTACAGAGTACACTAAATCCCCAAGTATATCGTTATGTATAAAACGATTTATAATCCAACTTAAGCTCCACAATAAATGTATTCTCAAAATCTTCCTAAACAATATTTCATACAGGGTTGACCAAACGGACTATTGTACAATATGTAATACTCGAAAAACCGAATCTTTAGGACATCTCCTCCTGGAATGTCCATTATACAATCCATTCAGAGATCGTGTCAGATCGTTTGAACCAAATCTGTGTCTTTGTTTGCCTAAATAAAACGAATGAGTTGAATTTATGATACAAACTTTTTAAATACTTTAGGGAATTATTTAAGCTAAGATCTTTCTTAAGGAATGAATAGTTTTTTTGTGCCTTCAATATCAAGACAGAATATTTAAATTGATGCGTCAATTATTTATTCTTTTTCTGTTTGTTTATATATATTTTTTATATACAACTTTTGATCATGGTTACTATCATTTTCTTACTATTTTTTTTTGTATTCATACTCTGGATAGGAAAGTTTCTACTCAATTCTGATTATTTACATAATACTCTCCCTCTTGTTTATATACCTTTGTACTAGGTATTATGAAACAATAAACCTGATAATTAAGTTCCAATAATAAAACCTTGTTTACTTCTCTGTGTTTATTCTTTTCACTGTCATTGAAGGTGATACTGGGTGTATTAACCAGAACACCATTACAAAAAAAGCACCTACGCCACTGGTGGAATCAGCTGTGGTCAGCACATACACAGCTTATTGTTTGTATTTGTTTTGAATTGGGTTTGTTTGTCTTCATGCATTACAGTGCCGTAAGAATGGTAAGTCTATTTATATTTTTAGTCTGAGATGTCTGCCCTTGAAAGTCACGGTAATAAGAATTAAATTAATCGACCTCGCTGCATGTCCTTCACCTTGCCACTACCTACCGCCGAATCATTATTTCCAACGACGCGAATTGAAGCTGGAAATGTCACGTCTGGCGGCAAATATAATGAGGATAATCGAGTACGAGAGTTTGTAGAAGTAAATGCTCATCTTCGGGCTGGTTAACAATAGTCTGGGAGCAGCCACTGAGGGCAATTACTGTAGATGCTGTATAGTGATTTTGCTGAACACCGTATATTAGCTAGGTTGCGATCTGTCCCATTGCAGTACGCATGATGAAATGTCAAAACAATGGATTTTCTGTAACGTTCCGCAAGGAAAGAAATATCATTGAACAGGACAAAACCGTTGACCTTTTTGAGGAAATATACTCAGTGACAAAAAAATTTTTTACGTATCTCCAATTTAACATGTCTGGGACATGATAGGTCACAGGCGCTTGAATTTTCAACACCCTCCACATTCTTTAGCAGCTCTTACTCACGAAGTTTTTTTTTTATTTAACCGATAGTACCGCAGCAACCTCATAGGGTTATTAACGGCGTGGACCGCACAATAATCTATGTATTGAAGTACATGTCAATGTCTTAGTGTGTGGCCTATCCGGAGACGTGACACAGTTATCTGGTTCCTTCTTCCTGAAGGTAGGGTGAATCGCGTGTTGACATCTGGAGCAATTGCGAGTAGTTTGCTGTGACTGCCATTCCATTTCTGTTGCCAAAGACTGGTTATGTGCACTTTTATTAGTCCTTTCAGATCTTGGTAGGGTGTACGAATCACACTTCTGCTTGAAGCGACTGCCGCTCTTGATGCTTCTTTGTTACTCACGAAGTTGTAGTGGCCTGGAATGAGATACCCGAACAGGATATCAACCACCTTATCAGCACGATGCCCATTCGTGTCAAGGAGTATAATATAAGAAATCGTACTAGTACGGGACACTGAACATACATGCCAAGAAATTATTAAAATCGGTGTTTACCTTTTTTTGTTACGCAGTATATAATGTGCGATGATGATGTGGAAAAGAAAAATAGTAGGTACTGCAAACGAGATAAATTTTTACTGAAAAATGGCATTAAGTAGGTGGACTCTGCACCTCCCTCTCAAGGCTGTCGTCAGTTCATAAAAGATTATTATAAAAAGGTTGACCACGGAAATGTATAACACAAAAAAAAAACTAAATTGGTAAGGTGAGCCAAGCAGGCAATTGGTCAATGATAATAATAATAATAATAATAATAGTAATAATAATGTTCTTTATTTTTCCATCATATACGTACATTTTACACACACACACACATGAGAAACAAAATCATGGTATTGGGGAAACCTCAAGGGGGAGTTCACCTATAGGTGTTCGTCCACTCAACCCTTGCCAGTAGTAGAATACATGTAAGAAAAATATCCTAGCCTAACACTAATCAAAAAACACACATAGCATCACCTGAATTAAACTTGGAAGTTGTAATAATTTAATTGCTCATAAAGTAATCCGAAACTAGTTCGTTGAATGTATGTGGATTGCATGATTCAAGATAATTAGGAAGAGAATTATAATACTTTTCACAAAGAGCGTAAGTACAGCTGTGACAATTGATCTTCGGATCTTTGCTCGAACAGTTCATTCGGGCACTTATTGTAAAATAAATAAATCCTGACCTATTCTTTCCTAGATATCAGGCACCTGGATCAGCGCTAAAAACACCTAACTGTTTTTGCCGTTTGCAAGAATTATGGAGATGCACAAAATTACGGTCAAACACACCCGTCGACGCAATTTTCGACTATTTTACTAATCACTTTTAACTGATCAACAAAAAGAAACTGTTTTGCGGAAAAACGAAATTTTAAATCGATATATGAGGAGCAGACTTTTTAATCGCACATTGTCCATTTTGGACTTTTTACAGGAAAGGGGAAAAACTGCTGTAAGCTTATTGCTAACATTTGAAAAACGAGTAACACATGACAAAACGTATTTTATTATCAACAGTTTGCTACAGTAACAAGGCTCAGCAAATATTAATAGCTTACTAAGAAAAATGAAAAAAATTAATGGACAAAGGACTCTTTGAATGTCCACAATGGACATAAGCCAGTCTGTTTGTCCATAAATGAAAAATGATTTCAAGCTTAAAATTCTAAAGCAAACAGTTCTATTCCAATTATACGTATATTACATATAAGTCGTCTTCCACCAGGTAGCAACATTCTTCGTCATCTTCACCGTGGGCACAGCTCTGCGCCTTTCTTCCGTTATCACCATGTTCCCTATACAGATCTTTTAAAATTGGGTCAAGCCAGGTTATCTCTGGATCTCTTACCCAATCTTGGCCTGATAAACTTACTAAAAATGTAGATAAACTTTTTTTGAGGGATCATCATTTCTGTATAATAGTTCGGTCTTATGCAAGATTTCACCTTCACCACTATTAGATGTTTGTCTTTTTATGATTGTTCTTTTGACCTCGGAAGTTCCTGCAATTTTTTAAGTGAACCTTTCCTACCGTTTGAGGTAGCATTCATTTTCCTCTCCCTGGCAACTCGATTAACATCGCCAACCACATGCTCTCCATCACTCATGTTGTTCTAATTTATTCACAGAATAATATCTTTTGCGCTATCTCTAGTTAACAGCACTCTCATTTGACAGCTAATACCGTTGTACTACACCATTGACAGACAGACAAATCGCACATTGTCCATTATATTGCTATTTGATTGTCTCTTGCCATCGGACAAAGTGCGTTTAGCTTGTCTAGGATACTTTTGAAGTCAAATACCTACTGAAAATAGTGCGATTCGAGTGTCTTTCAGTTTAGAATCTTGTAGTAAGCAGTGCCATGGATCGAACGCCACCTTTGGGCAAAAATGATAAAATATGGACAAAGTGCGATTAGAACGTCTGCTCCTCATATTTTCATCGAAATAACGGAATTAACAAGGAGCAAAACAACACAGGTCCGTGATCTACTGCTGTACTTACTGATTTACAATATTGATGACATAAATTATTTTGAATGTTGAGAACAAACCCCGAAGCTGTCAGAAACGTTCATATATGTCTTTTTCAATCATATGGAATAGTTTGGTATAAGGCTTTGACCGCATGCACAATTTATTAAACTTTTTTGAGACTACCTGTCTATTGCAATTTTTTATATTGTTTGACAATAAGCATTATTATTATAATAATAATTATTATTATTACTATTATTATTATTATTATTATTATTATTATTATTATTATCAGAGTAGAGTTGACAACTTACACTCAATTTCTCGGAAATTGTACGGAGTCCTGTGGCACACCGGAGCTCACCAAAAATTTGGTGCCATTATAAGATACGTATTGATATCTATCGGTGAGGTAGAAGACAAAAAAGGGTAATAAGCCATAACAAAAACCAAAACATTGCAATTTGGTCAAAAGCGCTTACCGCTACATTGTTCTAGCTGACCAGCATAATAGCATGGCTGACGTTGCCAGTAGGCTAAAACTGTCAGTATTTGCAGGGAAATTTCTAGATCGCAGTTTTATCAAATGGGTGGAGAATTTGGAATCAAACTTGAAATTAGATGTAAGTAATACTGTCATTGAAATTACAGGTAAGGCAAAGAATCTGGCCTTACTCATTAATCCGGATCTAAGGTTCAGGGATCACATAACGAAATGCATACAGAGAGCATACGCATCGCTAAAATTACTATATCCCCATAGATCATATTTATCAACAGACACTAAGAAAATATTGTGCGATACGCATGTACTTTCACAATTTATATATTTTGCCCCTGTATTTGGTCCATGTTTCGATCAAAACAGTGTTAATCGTATTCAACGTGTACAGAACTCGTGCATTCGATTCATATACGGGATTAAAAAAGTATGAGCGCGTTTCCCACAAATTGAAGGAATTGAATTGGCTAAACATGGAGAAAAGACTGCGCTAATATGCTCTCTGCTTATTTCACAAGATACTGTATTATAAGTACCTCCCCTATCTCTACCAAAAGGTGTCATTTCGCGCAGATGTCCATAATCTTGACACGAGACTTAAGCACCTAATCAATATACCATCTCACAGGACAGTTCTTTTTGAAAGAAGCTTCAAATTTACAATTGCTAAATGAAAAGTTTCTCTCAAGTTCCCGAGCTACTATAAGAAAAGAAGCTAAAGAATTTAAACAAAAAGTTGAGGAGTTGCTTGCCAAAACCAATGGTTCTGCATCGAGGTCGGAGAGCACCAATGCGTCAGCACGTTACTCGGCTGAACAGGTCGTCCAGGAAATTCAAGAGCATAGTATAAGGAAAAATAACGTTATAATTTTTAGTTTGCCTGAACAAGATCATCGTAATGAAGAAAAAGAGCTAGTCTCGGATATGCTCAAGTTGGTCAAAATTAACTCTGCACCACCTGGTATTAAACACTTTAGGATTGGCAAAACCTCAACCACCAACAGACCTCGTCTAATAGTGAACTGCGAATCAAAGGTAAAAATGGTATTCAAGAGCCTCCAACTAATCAAAGATAATCAAACTTTCAAGGATATTATGATCGTGAATGACCGCTCTCCCATGCAGATGAATCAACATAAAAAAAATAAAAAAGAATTTGAAGAGCGAAGACAGAACGGTGAAAGTGACCTACAAATTAAATACTTTGAAGGTGTCCCTAAGATTGTGAAAATTAAATGTGAAAATTAAACCAAATCTAAATTAGAATAAACCCACCAGTGCAGCTTATGGTAAGACAAATGAATTATCTATGTTTTATCAAAACATCAGGGGTATGAACTCAGAAATAGATGAGTTCTTTGCTAAGGTAGTTTGTCAGAATATGATTTATATGCAATAACCGAGACCTGGCTAACTCCCAGTGTACACAGTTCTGAAATATTTGATGGTCAGCACTCTGTAATGCGTTGTGACAGAACAAGGGCTAGGACGGGTGGCATCAAGGAACAGACAGACATCAAGTGTGAATTACTTAGCAACTTTTTAGGTTTTTTTCAATTTTAACCACCAGTACAATGTTGTAATGAACTAAAATGGTAGGCTATTAGATTTAATGATATAAAACCAATTCGTAAGACGTTATCCAAGATGGTATATGAGAGATATAATCAGGGATATAAAAAAAGCGCCACTGTTACAAAAAGTTTAAGGAAACTGGGAATTTGGAGCAATATAATGACTTTAAACTTCTTAGATCTAAGATAAAGTTGAATGTTAGCCATGCATACCAAGATTACATAGCTAATGTTCAAGATAATCCTTCTAATAATTTTGGACTTTTATAAACTCTAAAAGAAAGGACTCTAGAATACCTGTCGACATGTTTTATGGTGACCAAAATTTTCATGACCCCCAATGTATCCATTGTATCAGGCTTTGCTGATTTTTTTAAAACCATATATAACGATTCACCTGTTACTTGTGACATAGACCAAGAAGCATGTAGTCCTGAATCTCTCCAGTCCCTGTTTTTAGCGAAGAATGTATAGTAAGAGCCTGCAAAAAACTAAATCCTAAGCCATCTAGTGGTCCATACGGAGTCCCGACATACATTGTGAAAGACTGCATTAGAGCTGTTGTCAAATTTTCTACAAATCACTTCAAGATTGTGTCTTTCCGAACTACTGGAAGGCCTCCAAGGTATGTCCTATTTTCAAGAGCGGAAAAGTGAATGATGTAAAGAATTATACGGCAATATCGCTCGTATGTAAAGGGTGTTTTTTTTTTCGAGGTATAGAACTTTAAGTTGGCATTACTTTTGAAGATGGCGACCGATTTGACACCTGTCAAGTGATTTATTCTCAGTTTGGTTTGGCAATTCATCATGAATAGACTCACGGCTGCACAACGCTTGCAAATTGTGCAGTTTCATTTCGAAAGTAATGGTTCTGTGCGGAATACGTATCGCGCACTACGACCATTTTATCGTCGACAAAATCGTCCATCAAAGCAGTTAATTCGATTAACCATGGAACGTTTTCGCACCACGTTTACTCTAGTTGATAACTCTCATCCCCAGAGATGCCGTACGGTGCGTACAGAAGAAGCTATTGTAGAGCGTAGCATTGAGGAAGACCCGAATGAGTCCATCCGCCATCGAGCACAGGAATTGGATCTGTGTCTATCCACTTTATGGAAGATTTCGTGGAAGGATCTTGGTTTGCGTGCTGACAAAATCCAACTCGTGAAATAATTGAAGCCAAACGATCATCAATCAATGCGTAGATTCGTTGAGTGGGCCCAAAACGAGATTGCCGTTGTTCCCGATTTTCATAAGCGAATTTTGTTTAGCGATGAAGCGCACTTCTGGTTGAATGGCTACGTCAACAAACAAAACTGCCGCATTTGGAGTGAAGCTAATCCTCAATTCTATGTAGAAACACCGTTACATCCAGAAAAACTGACTGTTTGGTGCGCTTTATGGGCTGGTGGAATCATTGGTCCGTACTTGTTCAAAAACGATGATGCCCAGAACGTTACAGTTAATGGTGATCGGTATAGAGCCATGATTACTAACTTATTCATTGCTGAATTGAACAATCATGATGTCCAGGAGCTGTGGTTACAAAAAGACGGCGGAACATGTCACACAGCTCGTGCTACAATCGATTTATTGAAAGACGTTTGATGATCGCCTAATTTGACGTTTTTGACCTGTGAATTGGCCTCCAAGATCTTGTGATTTAACACCACTAGACTATCTTCTGTGGGGCTATGTAAAGTCGTTGGTCTATGCGGATACGCCACAAACGCTTGACCATTTAGAAGACAACAGTCGCCATTTTATTGCCGACATACGGCCACAAATGTTGGAAAAAGTCATCGAAATGCTTCCAAGACACTTTGACGAACAAGAAGCGTCCTAGCGCTTATACAGTTTCGATGGACGGTCGAGTTCTACCAAAGAGACTTTCGTTTCGGCTGGTCGGAGTCCAGATCACCGAGGACCTGATCTGGTACGTCAATAGCTGCAGCTGCTGGGAAAAAGCTATAAATTGCTCACACATTTGGGGTGCTGCCGCCCCGACTACATTGTCCATGCTCGATGCTGTCCAGAGGAGGGCGGTCCGACTGATCGATGACTCTTCTCTAACAGACAGTCTCGGGACTCTTTCGCACCGGCGGGCCGTCGGCAATCTAGCTCCTTTGTTTCGCTATAGCAATGGTCTTTGCTCCTCAGAGCTCTCTTCCATGATGCCACCGCGCGATGTGCCTGCCAGACAGACCCGCCTGACTTCGGCGTCCCATCCTAACCGTGTCAAAATTCGCACATCCAGAACTGGCCGATACGACCGCTCCTTTCTCCCGAGGGTGTCTAGATTGTGGAACAATCTAGACACCCTTGAGGAAGAAGAAGCTTTAGCCAGTTCTACTAACCTTAGGCAGTTCAAAAATCGTATTAACAAAATTTCTTTGGGATCATCATAGCAGCCGCGGTGTTCCGGCATTTAGGCTTTTGCCTGCGCGGCTGTTTCGATATAAAAAAAAGAAGTAATAATGCCACAAGATTATCTGTCGAATAAAAAAAATTTACGTCATTCAAATAATCCATTGTTGTTTTATTCCAATTTAAAGTTCTATACCTCTAAAAAAACATAATATTTTATTTATATATTATTATAAGTAATATGTTATCAGAAAAACAAAATGGATTTAGGAACAAAAGATCGACAAAACTAACTTATGCTGCCTCATGAATGTGACATCTGTCGTTTGCTGTAGGTCAACAACAACAGGTTGACGTTATATTCACGGATTTCTCAAAGGCATTTGACCGAATAAACCACTTCATTTTGCTTAAAAAAGTATGAATTTGGGTTTTCTGATGGCTTGTTGATGTTTTTCCGTTCCGATTTATCTGAACGCGTTCAATCTGTGCAGTATAACGGCTTCAAATCGGAATCATACATACCAACTACGGGAGTACCACAAGATACTAAATTGAGCACCCTACTATTTTTAATTTTTGTTAATGATATCAACCACATAATAACAGTAGAAAACCAAATGTTTGCGGATGACTTAAAAATTTACTCAGTATACTCGTGGACAAGAGAGCTTATACTTTTTGGAGTAAAATTTAGAGAACATTCTTGACTGGTGCCAGAATAATGATTTAATGCTTAATCCCAGCAAGTGTAAAGTAATGTCCATTACCAGAAAAGTCTATCATACCATATGATTATATGCTGGATAATCACAAACTTGACAGAGTACAGGAAGCAAAAGACTTAGGCATTACTATTACTGCGGATCTGTCATTTTCAACGTACTTGAACCAAATAGACAAACCAGCTTCACGCATGCTTGGATGCATTATTAGAAATTGCACATCTTTTACTAACATAGAATCATTAAAAATACTGTATTTCACTTTAGTTAGAAGCTTACTTGGATATGGTTGTATCATCTGGTCTCCTTTATACGTTACATATATGTACATCTAAAGTGGAGAAGATCCAAACTAATTTTTTAAAATATCTTTATTTAAAAGCATATGGTGCACATTCTCCATTCAACTATCCAAAGAAGGACTTTTTGGATCACTTGGTCATGGTCAGTCTTGAACAGAGAAGATTTATGTTAAACTGTAGTGAAATTTTGTTGAACTTAAACTTTTGTGTGCCTATTTTGAATAGAACTACACCATGTTTTATCTTCCAAAAGCTTCAATAAATACTATGCTAGCATCCCCTTCATATAGAATGTCGGAATGCTTTAACGAGGTTAGTCCTCTCTTTGACTTTGATATGAGCAAACATATATGTACATAAAAGAAAAAAAATATCATATTTAAAAACCGTTCAGTGACGTAAACTATTTTTAGCTTTGCAGTACCTTTTAATCTTATTCTTTATCTATTTTAGGTGTAGAATTAACGTTCAGAAATATATTAATTAGCGTGTGTTACTACTTCACTTATGGGGCTTTGTGTTGGATTTCTGATACACACACTCACACACATAGGGTTTTTTTAGTATCATCAATCCATGATATTATTTTTTGTATGTGTGTCTATTGGCTTTCCAACACTAGTATAGTGTTTCTCTGTAATTGGATCATGTATCTGTTGAGAAATATATGAATAAAATAAAATGAAGAAATAATAATTTCTCATATCTAGCACCTGATGAATCGAAAGTCTAAGCTGATTTAGAATCCATCCCCTCAATTATCTTTTCAGTTTCCTAATATGGAGGTATTCTTTACTTTCTCGTCCAACATTTTTTGTAAGTTTCGGTACAGATACAATATAATTTGGAGCACTTGTATGGTGATCGTGATTGACTGGCCTCGGAAAGTGTTTTTCAATTGTCCACAGTCAAGTGTGATTCATTATACAAATTAATGATTCGTTGATTTTTTGTGTTGGGTGATGTATAAATAAATAAATATTAGATCTTCTCATTCATGCCGGAAGTAGAAGCTGATAACGTCACGTCGCGCCCGACGTCAAACATAATGGGGACTAAAGAGCCCCAATAACTGCAAAAGATGAGAATTTGTAGAAGAAAATCATCATGTTCGGGTTAGTTAACAAGATATTCATAAGATTCAAACATCGCCGCAATATCCTAATTAGTTCTATGTAGACGTAGTGCTAGTTTACGTGCGTTGTACCATCAAATAACTCATGGATTATTCATAATGGAGTTCATGAATACCTCGACTTATACACGGAGTGCGCTAATTTAGCTTCTGGATGCTTCATTTGGATGTCATTCATTTCACTAGTCGTAAAGGGACAGACTACAGACAGAGGTTCCCGATATACCTTTGCCATCCATATATTCTTCATCCTTCAAATGAGGCAGCTAGTATATAGTGAAGTCTATTGAAAACCTCACTTGTTCCGTGTCAAAACAAATATTCGATCTCTGCATCTATTCCTAGGCCAGGAGATGTATATAATTTTTGCCTACAATTGTTGTCCCAGTGAATATTTTTGGTGATATCGTTAGATTATTGCTCCCTCGAGATAAGTTCAAATTAGCGTTCAGATAAGGTTGAAGGATTTTCCGCCATTTTGATAAACGCGTTTGATCGAAAATCTCACAAACCATCGATCCTATGTAGGATTGAGTATACCGCACGGTAAATCACGTCAGGTAATTTGTTTGAACAAGTCTTGGCTCGGACAATTTTTGATCATATTTTTTGGGTTATTCCGTATGAAAAATACAACAGTAACTTTTCTCAAAGGCTGACCATTTTCAAGTTTCGATTCAATGTCTCATTATTCCTTAAAATGAGTATACTCACTGCATAAAACTCGGTTGAAATTATTATAACTATCTAAATTAAAGTTTGAGCTTTGCTTTGCAAGAGCTCGAATAGTGTTTTGAGATTAGTTTATTTTAAAGCGATTTTTAACTTTGTCATTTGGCGAACTTTTGATTTTCGCAGTTGCTGGGTAAGAAAGTCGGCTCACATTTGTCGGTCAATGTCATTTTTGACTTCTTTTGATTTCTGCATATTTTTTTATTCGACCAAATCTTGAAATTCAATCCAGCACTTAATATCTGAAAGCAGCCTTCTAGTTCATGCACCATGACCAGTTACAACCGACATCTGCAAGGTGCAATGATATGTTTTAATAATGCCCTAGTTCATGCGTGCGTTGAGCAGTCACGTTGTGAATCTGATGATGTTTTTAAGTATGTCCAGCATGTAAGTATTTTTATCGTGAAGTTCCAGTATGCGATTTGTTTTGATCCACTAAACTTTCATGTGGCAACATCAAAAATTAAACCCAGTGATTTTCCGTTTTTTGTTTTTAAACAGTTTTAATGTGTAATATAATTTCTACAGTTCACTGGATGTAGATTAAAACAGGAATGTACGCAGATACTAAAACACGGGTAAGAAAAACGCAAACTTTGTTCAAGAAAACATTGTAGCTTGTAACCTCAAAAACTCAGCATACGAGAAAATTTAGGCACGATACCTTTGCTGTGATGCCAAGTGTGCCAAAAATTCTCAAAGCTACTGAAAGAATGAATACAAGACAACAAACATAATCGAAAACGAACATACCAGAACAATACAATTCTGTGGATGATAAAACGTACACCCAGGAAGAGTTGTTGTTAGATCTTAGGAATAAGCTAGCCTCAGAATTAGCAAAGAATGAAGATATGCATGATCTCACTGCAAAGTTGAAAGTTAAAATCGAAGTCCTGAACAAGGATAAAACGATAGAACATCTCAAAGGAATAATTGAGAAAGTTAAAGGAAACACCGTGGTTTCTAACAAAAACACACAAACAGATGCAGCTCTAACAAAGCAAACGGCCACACAAACACACTCCAGCAAAGAGTCGAGGCATGTCCAAATTTCTAAATCATTTTCGAATAATATAAAAAGAAATGAACCACGCAAGCCTAAGTTACTAATTCTTGCAGACGAACATGGGCGAAACCTTGTCCATATTTTTCGAAACATCCTGCCACTCAGCCAAATAACAGTGGAGGCAATGCTGAGGTCAAGTGCCCAGATGCATGACATAACGAAGGACGCACTAAATCTATCATCTGATTTCACCAAGTTGGACTATACATATACTCATACTGGCAGGATCCAATGTTGCCCATATCAGAGGTTGCATATACAGTGAGTCGCTAGGGAGTATTCTTAGAAATATGGACACACTAACACCATAGTAGCAACAGTTCCAGAGTGGAAATGCAGGCGTCCCGTACTAAATAGTATAATTCAAGGTATCAATGATCAAATACGTTATACTGCAAGGGAAAATACCGCAAACCTCTTAGATATAGACAGTTGCCTTAAGGTTATCAAAAAAAGTGAAATAAAATAAGCAAAAATCCCGCCGTTGTGAACGCGACATTGCCTCACAAAAATTAACATATCAAAATAGTACATCTTAATGTATGTAGCATACAGAACAAATATGACGCTCTCGATTTTTTTGTTGATGAGACAATACCTGATGTACTATGCCTCACGGAAACATGGCTGTCGTCTGATGCAGCAGGTGTAGCTAATATTAAGGGGTATACAAACGCAGCAATTTTCTGCAGAAGCCAATATATTCATGGTGGTTGTGCTATATTCGTGAAACAAGGCGTGACTACCAAGGAACTTCCATTTGTCAAGAAGTTTTCCGTAGAACGACACATCGAATACTGTGGTACAATAGCTACTCTGCAAAGCACAAAAACGAACCTAATAGTAATATGTGTATACCGTCCGCCATCTGCTAACATAAGAACCTTTCTTGAGACTCTTTCGGAAATTCTCGATCATGTATCAGCCACACGCGACAAGATTATTCCATGGGGCGATCTAAACATTGACTATTCTCGCCCAACTATAAACACCATGATGCTTCGAGACATTTTAGATTCGTTCAACCTTGTAAATCACTGCAACGAACCTACACGCTACGCTATCAGCAGGAATAACACTATATCCAATACGTCAATAGACTACATGACGACAAATCTCAGTCCACAATTCATCACTTGTACAGTATTTGATCCACGTATATCCGACCACACTGCCCAAATGCTCTCGATCTCCATCACGTCAACCTGCGAATCCACTAAAAACATTAGCAATTACGTCGGATAAGAACAATAAAAAGTGAAAACCTTGAGAACCTTAAAGCCAACGTGTCTCAAGAACACTGGTCGATAGTTGAAGATGAAGACATAGACACGGCGTTTGAAAACTTCATCAATACTTTCTTATGGTATTTTAATACCGGGTGTAAAAAGTAAACCCAGAAAATTACTAACAACTACTAAAAAACGATATCATGAACATCTAGTTGCAAATGCAGAAAATATATCGAAGAAGATATGGGAAATTGTAAACAAAGAACTAGGACGAAGCAGCTGTACCAATCAAATAATCTTAAATATAGGATCCGTTGGAGGTCTGCGAAGCGAAGGTACATCCGACGCATTTGGTAGGTATTTTTCTAGAGTAGCAGAGAAGAAGCTCCATGTACACTTTGGAAGGCAGCCCACAACAACAAGTCTGTCAACAACCTCACTAGCTCGGTCAATGTTATACAGCGAAACTACCGAAGATGAAGTGACCAATGTGATAAACAACCTTCGAAATAGTAAGTCGTGTGGAAGTGATGGTGTGCCAACAAGAATAGTTAAAAGTGTGTGTCATCAAATTGCAAGTCCACTAGCGGTGCTCATAGACATGTCGGTGCAACAAGGTAAATTTCCTAAAAATCTTAAATTCGCCATTTTGGTACCTATATTGAAGAATGGAGATCCCTCTCAAGTCGAAAACTACCGTCCAATATCTCTTCTGTCAGTTTTCTCAAAGATATTTGAGAAAGTGCTGCACGCGCGCATAGCTAAGCTATACTGAAAAATACATCATCTCCAATAACCAACATGGGTTCAGGGAATCACGCTCGACTGAGACAGCCTCTTTTGGGTTTATTAACCACATATACCGAGCAATAAACTTGGGTCATCTAGTTGCTGGAGTATTTTTCGACTTGTAGAAAGCGTTTGAGATCATTAATGTAGATTTGCTAAGGGAGAAACTTTTCAATATAGGTAGAGTAAATGCAGGTAATTTGGAATACTGTTGGTAATTTGGAATACTGGAGAAACTAAGTTATTAGCAGCGACATCTTTTAAGAAACATCGGTATCAGATAGTCTACATAGCAGTCAACGAATAAGCCGTGGCTTAGAGGGCGCTGTGTTGTTAGTGTCGTGGCAATTATCGTTCAAGTGGAAGTACTGTTTGTGAATTTTTTTAAATAAGTAAGTAATCCATTCGCATCTCAACTTTTAAGCATATTCAAATGTTTACACTGATACAAATACACAGTTTAGTATATGAATTATTGAAATTAATGCTTATTTTGCTACAAATTGTAGATATAAATATATCACAACATTTTAAGGTTAGGTAAGGTTTGATGTTAATTTGGTATACGGCAGGTGGAGTGAATTTGGAATATTCCGAATTATATGCACATTTAGCGCACATACGTTTCTTTTTCGTATTTTTTGCTTTGTGGCTTCTTTATAATTGATTGTTTTTTGTTTTAGCAATGCCCTCTTCCACTAACAGATACAAAAAACGAAAGAAGTGGTCTGAAGAAGATATGGCTGCTGCAGTACAAGCGGTTCGAGAAAAAAAGATGGGGTATTTGAAGGCAGCGAAGACTTATAACGTACCGAGAACTACTGTATTTCGGCTTGCAAATCAAACAGAACTTTCAATGCCAGAACTTCTTTCAAAAAAAGATTGGTCGCAAACCACTCTTTGATAAAGCGTTTGAGGACATGCTAGTAAATTACGCCCTTATAATGGAAGATAAATTATATGGTTTGACTCAAATGGATATGAGAAGAATAGCGTACCAACTTGCTATCAGAAATAATCTGTCGAATCCATTTAAGGATGAAAAAGCTGGCAGATACTGGCTAAAAGGATTTCTCTCAAGACATAGGCAAATACTATCAATGCGGAAGCCTTCTGGGACATCATTTGCTAGAGCAAGCGGATTTACGAAGGAAAGAATGAACGAGTTCTACGATAACCTTGACAAAGTTTACGATGAGAAAAAATTCACTGCTGATCGTATTTTCAATGTGGATGAGACAGGACTATCTATTGTCCAATCTAAATACCCTAAAATAATTGCTCGTCGCGGCAAAAAACAAATTGGAGCCATAACGTCCGCTGAAAGGGGTTCGCTCATTACAATAGTGACCTGTATGAGTCCTGCTGGGATTTTTGTTCCGCCAATGATAATTTTCCCCCGCAAAAATATGAGCGAAATTTTAATGAAAGGCGCACCTGTGGGATCGATTGGACGGGCACATCCATCTGGTTGGATACAGACATATTTGTTCACGCAATGGTTCCAGCATTTTATTGACTATGTGAAACCATCTGCTGCGGCACCAGTTCTTCTCTTGTTCGATGGTCACTTTAGTCATACAAAAAACCTGGAGCTCATAGATAAAGCGAGACAAAATCACGTAACCTTGGTTTCACTGTCACCACACTGCACACATAAAATTCAGCCCATGGATAAGTCCTTCATGGGTCCCCTTAAGACCTATTATAGCGAGGAAATTCGGGTGTGGTTGCGCGAAAATAATAGACCGCTTACAGCTTATGATATTGTAGAGTTATTTGGTAAAGCATATCGTAAATGCCAGACTGGAGAAATTGCAGCTAGAGGCTTCAGTATCGGGGGAATTTATCCATTTAATAGATACGTCTTCACAGATTCAGACTATGTCGCAGCAGCTCATGATGTAAAACAAGATCAATCAAACATCAGTGAACTGCCAGATGAACCTCCATCGATAACAGAACCATGTTATCTCAGCGCAAACTGTCAAGAGGACAGAATTGAAATCACAAATCTGTCACCGTCCATTATTCAGCCTGGAAGCCCTTGTGATACTTCAATAAATTACAAAGAACAACCGAATACTTCAGCGTTATTAGAACAGGAAAAAGAAAACCGCCCAGGCCCTTCTCATAGTGGCTCCGTTACCACACCGTTTGATATTTCGCCTATTCCCACAACTAGGAAATGCACATCTAATAGAGGTCGCAAATCGGGAAAATCTGAAATTATTTCAAATTCACCTTATAAAAACGAACTGGAGGAAGCAGAAAAGAGAAGGATTGAAAGGCAGAAAAAACTAACTAAAAATGAAGATCAGGATAAACATGTAGTTCAAGGAAAGGGCAAAGAGAACAGCAAGGGCAAGGGAAAAGGAGTAAATAAAGGGAAAGAGCAAGAAAAAGAAAAGGAAAAGGGAAAAGGTAAAGAAATTGATGAAAAAGAGAAACGTAAGGGTAAGACTGCTGCTAAAAGAATGATATTACAAGAAGAGTTTACGGACTCTGATAGTGATGCTACATTCAAGTCGGACGAGTCAGAAGAGGAATTACCCAAGGAAGATCAGGTGAAACAACCAACAGAAGATGATTGCACTTGTATCTTTTGCGATGGAAAATATGCAGATGATCGAAGGGGAGAGGAATGGGTCCAATGTCTCATGTGCGAAGGATGGGTGCATAGCGAATGCGCTGGCTATGACCACGGTTACTATGTGTGGGATTTTTGCAAAGAATAGAAAAGTCTATATATAGTCTTAAGAGTTTAAGTAAGACTTATCTAGATTTCAGAACTGAACTTTAAGTTAAAAGTCTATTATTTAAAAGTGAACATAATTTGGAATACCATATTCCAAATTATATTCATACTAGGTATTTGGTGCCTTTCAGTGATTTTATATATAAACCAAAGTTTATGCCATTTATAGAAGAATAAGACTGTTGTTTATTTTTATGCTATTAATACATTAGTTTCAGTTACTGTAAGTGTGGTTTTCACTGTTGTTGCTCTCAACCCTTGGTGAGTATGATTGTTTTACAAACTGGTATTCCAAATTACCTGCATTTACTCTATTAGAGACTTCTTGCTGGACTGGCTAGTGTCTTTACGGACAGACAGGGACTTAGAGTAAGAGTGAACGATGCGCACTCAGCTACCTATAACATAAATATAGGTGCAGCTCAGGGATCTGTATTGGCACCACTATTTATAAACGATCTGAAGCTTTAAGGTGCAATAGTGAACTACGCTGACGACACATCGGCTGTAGTAACTGAAGACTCGCCTGAAGATCTGTACCTTAACATTGGAATCATAAAATCTGAGATGGAAGAGTGGTGCCAAACAAATCTTCTGATCTTGAATGCTGACAAGACGGTAGTTGTTCACTTTTACTCCATTACTCCACGTCTCATTAATAGTACTATCTCAGACTCTACGACCTTCCTGGGTATTGAGTTGGATGCAGGATTAAATTGGAAGCAACAAGTTGACAGTCTATGCAGGAAAATCAATACGTCCTACTATGCGATATTGAAAATAAAGCCAAATGTCTCCAAATCAACGCTAATAGATTCGCATCTGTCAAATCACACCATCGTCTGGGGACAAGCATGCACCGCGTCCAGAGTGTTTATTTTTCAGAAACGTATTGTAAGGCTGATATTTAACATTAAAAGGAGAGAATCATGTAGAGCAATCTTTCAGCATAATAACTTGCTAACGCTTCCGAGTATATATATTTATAAATGCGCCCTCTACACCTTCAATCTTAGGGGGCAGTTTCTGTAGAAGGACTTAAACACGAACTACAACACTAGAGCGAAACAGGACTTGAGTATACACTGCCAATATTCGAAAAATCACCAGCCTACGCCTGCACCAAGGTATTCAATAAGTTGCCATCAATACTAAAAGATGATCAAATAGGTTCAAGAAGGAGCTGAGGAATCTGTTAATAGAAAGATGCTACTACTCAGTAGCTGAGTTTCTTTCAGGATAAGAGTGATGCACCTAAAAATTAAATAGGCAACTATGGCTGTATATATATATATATATATATATATATACAGGGTGACTTCGAAGTTGAGTCATTTATTTTAACAGTGAGTAGATCTGATCAAAAGAAATGTTTTTTTCCTTTACCATTTTTCTGGTAAAATTAAAGTAACAAAGTTATAGCCCTTTGGAAGTTTGAGTACCGCCCTGTCTCAATAACAATATTATGTGGTCGTGTTTGGCGACAATGGATATAATCCGCCGTATCGGTTCATCGCATCGGAAACAAAAAAGCGAAAGAATTTGGAACGATGTTTTTACAGGTATCTCATTCATTTGTATACAGTTAGTGTCAGTGAATAGTAGTATGTGTTGCGTGGCTCAAACGAAATAAAAAATGGCACATGTTTATGCGGATCGGTTTCCCAATCGAGTGCAACCAACCCCTCGTGCCTTTGTTAATGTAGTACAACGGGCTTGTGAATCAGGTGACTTAAGACCTCACAGGGGACCTCACGATCAAATACAGGTCAGCACTGAAATACTTGTCGGGAGGATACTTTATAAAACAAGGTAAAAATTTTTTTTTATTTTTTTTTATTTTTACACACATATTTTGGTTTATCTTCCTTCTACAATCATTATCTGAAAATTAATGACTCAACTTCAAAGTCACCCTGTATATATATATATATATATATATATATATATATATATATATGTGTGTATATATATATGTATGTTGTGTATATATATATATGTGTATATATATGTATATATGTATTGGACTTACTATTCCATTCAATGTTGCACCAGACGCTAGCTCAGCAACAGATAACGACTTCGCGCTAACTCGTTGTTTATGCTTTGTTTTCTAGAAGTGCTTTGTAAGCACAGGAATAGTATAAATAGGCCTTGCGCCTATTTCATGTTGTTCAATACCCGGCTAGGCACCGTAACAGTCACTTATATAAACTTTGTTGTTGAATACCCGGTTAGACTCCGTCAAGTCAAGTAATTGTAAACGTTTGTAATGGACAGTAGTTACTGTCCTCAAATAAATTTTTTAAAAAGTAAAGTTGAATTTAAATGATATAACATTTATGTGTATATATGTGTATATATATTTACTCGTATAAGCGTACCTTTTATTTTTTTCTATTTTTATTGTACTTACTTCCTTTACACCTTGTTCCGTTTATTATTGTATCTGCTTGTTTAGTGTATGTTTTCTTTCGTGCGCACATGCGTCCTTTGCCCTTTCTCGACTAAACTGTGTTTCTTTTCATTTTTAACCGACAAATTTATGTATTTATACTTAATAATTTAATTTTTGTAGATAATAATGTACTCATAGAGATATGTCTGACGAGTCTTATATCATTCCTATGATCCGAAGACAATAAAGCATCTATCTATCTATCTATCCATACGGTTTTTCAAATTAATCCTATCATAATCAACTTGAGTACAATCTGCATACTTTACTTTCTACATTAAATTGAGCGTCTCTCACTGTTCTCCTCAAATGATATATTATTACATGAACGTTCCACCTATTACCTGAATAAAAGTCATAAAATCCAATCATAAATCATGGGAATGTCCCCATACACCTTTGCAATTATTTATTCAAGTCACTCCGTCGACACGAACTAAGCTATCATTTCTGAACTACTTCGTGAGAAGTTTTTATCCCTACGCTAAGTCACATAAGTAGCTTTTAACTGTCTCGGAGCAAAAGTTAGGAGTCCCTTTTAAACTTGGCCGAAGCTCGAAGCACGGTGTAGACGCAATGCATTTACTGGGAAAGTACAAACACATTAATGTTTTACTTCTTGGATAAAGTTTTATTCCGATGCAGATTTCATGCTTTCATACGGTAATGCGTTTGGTTTCGAAATGTC